CACTTGGACGGGTGTGGGAGAAGTCTACAGACTTGGGTGGTCGGGTGACCCAGAAATGATTCCTGAGTACGTACGGTGTACCCTGTGTCTGATATAGTTTAGAGATGGCTTTGTGTGGAGTACATGTGGCTGGGCAATCGATTTCACTAGTTAATATGTTGTCTCTATTTTTTTAACCTTCATTCATTCTTTCATTTAGTGTGCATGTGTGTGTGTTTGTGTGCATGTGTGTGTACTCAGCACCATGTAGTTTCCATCGATAAAACTCAGTTTTTCAGCTTTAGAAGCAAGTACTTTTATGCACCCAGCCATCTTGCTAGCCCCAATTAAGTATTTTAAACTAATTTTTCTTGGCTCAATATGTTTTCATTCAGCCATTATTTATTAGGTACCAAATAGATGTCAGGAACTTAAATCTTCCAAAAAAAAAAAAAAAACCCAAGCTATTCTCATAAATGTTGTTTTATGAAGACCCTGTAGCTTTCTCTTCTTTGTGCCATCTCCAACGTGCACAGTGACCTCACTCATCCCCATAGAGGGCGCTGGAGGCAGATGTTTCAGGCTTCCTCTGGTGTGTGTAAGCCGGAATGAGGAGGCTGCTGCCATAAACCCCTAACTGATTTCAGAAATTCCTCCTGGGCCTTTGTGGTACCTGTAGCTCTCTCAGAAAGAGAGATTATTAGAACTAAGATAATTTTAAGCAGACTTTGTCACAACTATAATGTTCTCACCAAAATACATTCTTCTTTAGATAGTATAGTTAAAGAAAATAAGAAAATAGATATAAACAAGTAAGATGGAATTATCTCGTTCCTTCTTCCTCCCCTTCCCCCACCTCTCTCTTTCTCTCTTTCCTTCTCATCCTCCATTGTCAGTAGTTATCTGGGCCATTAGATTACCTCCATTTATAGTGTTAAGTATAATTCATTGTGTAAATGCACCTTCATTGACTAATTAATAACTTTTTGATTTGGGTGCTGTTCCCATTTTAATGTATGTGTATATACATCAAAGAATAGATACTGTACACATATAAACATATGCACATATATGTGCACAGGCACACACACATATACACCATGTTTGTGTCTTTCTTTTCCCTCAATTAATTATTATTTCCTTAATATACGCCTCAGAAGTAGACTATGTGGGTAATAAATGTAACCCCAAAGCCTTTCCAAATGTATGCAGAGGAGCCCAGGTTGCCATGGTCAGGTTTATGTCTCAAGTTCTAACCCAAGTGTCTGACCTTGGGTTAACTAATCACTCTGCCTACTAAGTGGGAGAAAATGGTCATGTACTCCATAGGATTTCAAAAGATACTGTGTAAAAGTATGTGGTAAGACTTTTGAAATACGATAGTCCAAAGACAGAGATGGGCATTTGCCCAGTGTCCTTCCTTCTTCATCATCACAGAGGACGTGGTTTTTCTCAGTTTCCTCTTCCTCCATGCTATCCTTTGCCAGACTCTAAGGACGGTCTATATAATCTCATCACACAGCCATGCTCCATTCATATATAATCTCATCACACAGCCATGCTCCATTCATATATAATCTCATCACACAGCCATGTTCCATTCATGTATAATCTCATCACACAGCCATGTTCCATTCATATATAATCTCATCACACAGCCATGCTCCATTCATATACAATCTCACCACACACAGCCATGTTCCATTCATATATAATCTCATCAC